TTTGAACCGATGAACTGCAACACCTGCTGACTGCCATTAAACAGCTTGGAAGATCAAAGTCAATTTTTAATATAACTGCAACAGGATTTGTCTGAAAGTAGAAAGTCATATACACCTAGAATGCCTTGAAGGTGAGTAATTCATGGGCTAATTTTAATTTTTGGGTGAACTAACCCTTTAATATAGACGCCCCCCTTAAATGCAGACTTGTACCTTCTACACATATGTCTCCCTGGTTTACCCCTGCACTTCGTGAACTGAAAACTACTGGTCATCGCCTTGAACGCCTTTACATGAAAACTGGATGCTCTTTATTTCACTTCTTTTGAACCGATGAACTGCAACACCTGCTGACTGCCATTAAACAGCTTGGAAGATCAAAGTCAATTTTTAATATAACTGCAACAGGATTTGTCTGAAAGTAGAAAGTCATATACACCTAGAATGCCTTGAAGGTGAGTAATTCATGGGCTAATTTAAATTTTTGGGTGAACTAACCCTTTAATATAGACGCCCCCCTTAAATGCAGACTTGTACCTTCTACACATATGTCTCCCTGGTTTACCCCTGCACTTCGTGAACTGAAAACTACTGGTCATCGCCTTGAACGCCTTTACATGAAAAATAGTTTGAACGTGCTTCTTATTGCTTACAACGACCATATTCAGCGATATAAATCTGCTTTAAATGCTGTACGCTCCAGTTACTATTCTGCCCTCATTACCAATGCATCCTCCCATCCTAAAACACTGTTTTCTGTAGTCAACAAACTCACCAACCCTTCTGCACCTGTCTTGAGTAACTCAGTAGATCTCTGTCAGTCATTCTTACACTTCTTCCAAAATAAAATAAATTGCATAAATAATCTCTTTCTAACAATGTACTCCCCTATGTGCTCACATGACTTCCCCTCTGATTTTGCACCTGGTACTTTTACTGATTTTGACCCTCCAACGCCTGCCTATATCTCTGAGCTACTCAAAAAATCTAATCCATCTGTCACAGTCATCTTGATCCTGCTCCTACTGCTCTACTCAAAAACTCTGCACCTGTTATTTTGCGGCCTATTTCACTTCTCATTTCTCAACTTCTCAGCACTGGTGCTGTTCCTCTTGAATTAAAAACTGCAGCTGTCACACCAGTCTTAAAGAAACCCGGCCTTGACCCTTCTGATATGGCCAATTACAGACCAATTACAAATCTTCCGCTTCTTTCAAAGCTACTTGAAAAAGTTGTTGCTGCTCAACTTCAGTCATATTTCTCATCTCATAACCTCTATGAATGTTTCCAGTCCGATTTTCGCGCTCTTCACAGCACTGAGACGGCACTTCTTAAGGTTGTCAATGATCTCCTTATGGCCACTTACTCAGGCTCTATTAGCATTTTAATTCTGTTAGATCTTTCCTCTGCTCCTCTATCTATCTTTCCTCTATCTCTCACAGTATTCTCATCTCACGACTCTCTGTTCTTGGTATTTCTGGAACTGCCCTATCTTGGTTCACTTCTTACCTGTTTGACCATCAGCATTACATTGCTGTCCGCCAGGCTAAGTCCTCTACTGCTCCTGTCTCTCACGGTGTTCCTCGGGGGTCTGTTCTTGGGCCTTTACTCTTCATCATCTATATGCTCCCTTTAGGTAACATTATCCGTCATCACGGCTTCAACTTCCACTGCTATGCAGACGACACCCAGCTCTTTATCAGTTCTCAACACAACTCTCCCTTTCCCACCAACTCCATATCAGCTTGTATTAATGATATAAATGCTTGGATGACCAGTAACTTTCTCAAACTCAACACTGATAAAACAGATCTACTACTTGTCGGTTCACCAAAAAATGTTACTCCTTTCTGTGCTGATAATGTTAACGTTGCTGGGACCTTGGTTCGACCTTCCACCACCGTTAAAATCCTGGGTATAGTCTTTGACTCCTCTCTCTCCTTCCTACCTCACATTACTTCACTCATTAAATCTGCCTTCTTTCTCCTCCGTAATATCGCTCGCTTACGTCCCTTCTTAAATATCAATGATGCTGAGGCACTGGTTCATGCCTTCATTACTTCTCGACTCGACTACTGTAATTCTCTTTTCTATGGTCTACCAAACACAACATTGAATAAGCTCCAATATATCCAGAACTCTGCAGCTAGCTCGGTTCGACCTTCCACCACCGTTAAAATCCTGGGTATAGTCTTTGACTCCTCTCTCTCCTTCCTACCTCACATTACTTCACTCATTAAATCTGCCTTCTTTCTCCTCCGTAATATCGCTCGCTTACGTCCCTTCTTAAATATCAATGATGCTGAGGCACTGGTTCATGCCTTCATTACTTCTCGACTCGACTACTGTAATTCTCTTTTCTATGGTCTACCAAACACAACATTGAATAAGCTCCAATATATCCAGAACTCTGCAGCTAGCTCGCCCCCCCCCCATATATTTCTGATCTCATATATACTTACTCTCCAGTTTACACACTACGATATTCTGATACTAGTCTACTGTTAATTCCATGCCACAGGTTAGCATCGTTTGGTGGATGAGCGTTTTGTACCTCTGCCCCCACACTCTGGAATTCTATTCCCAATCTTTCTTCATTACAGGATTTCAAAACCCACCTTAAAACATATATTTTCCTTTCTTGTTTCTCTGATCTCTGATCTCTGACTGCATGATCTGATTCATGCCATGGATTTCATGTTTATCTGTATTTTTTTATTTATTTTTTGTCTGCTGTCATGTTTATCTGTTTTGATATTGTAAAGCGACCTTGAGTTTGCAGAAAGGCGCTATATAAAATAAACTTATTATTATTATTATTATTATAGTAGAAATCACTGAGTGGAGTCCTATGTCCTTGCTCATTAGCTCAATGTTCAGGTCTCCGGCAGTGTGGCACTGTCCATGGAGACCAAACCAGACACAGCCAGCTACAGTGCTAATGAATATGTAGGCCCAATCCCTCTATGCATTACGTAATCAAAGCTGAGTTATTCTGGAAAATTGCTTTGCAGTCACATATTACACCATCATTGGATAGACTTTTTTTTTATTGTTTAGTGTCATAAGGTTTAAATGAAATGAGAATCTATAACAGAGTTTAGAAGGAGACTTCAAGTTTGGTTCTAAAAATGACAATCAACAGCAGTTTGTGAGCACTATTCATTTATAGCACACCTTTAAGCTTACCTTGAAGCATATAAAAACTCACAGTGTACACTTCAGTCTCTGGGCTCATGGTGTTCTGGACACCAATAAAAGATGAATCACGTGGTACTACAACACATCATGATGTCAGATTTAACAGAATTGCACTAAACAAATCCCATCAAGGTTGGTGGACCACTTTATCAGTTTTAGCTGCGTTTGCTTGTGCTTGTTTGTACGGGTGTCAGCTGCTCACCATCAGATTTTCGGGGGAGTTTAATGGGTTTATTCTTATGTTTCAGTGTCTGCTGTTAGCCAGCCATGCCACCGATTTCATTTAATAGCTCTCTGCTTCGACAGTCTCATCGGTCACACGTACTTACAAAGATCTGTCTGTCTGTCTATCATATCTGTGTGTCTTATCTATCTATATATCTATCTATCTATCTATCATCTATCTATCTATCTAGTCAATCCAAAATTTTTCACATTATCGCAGTTTATTCGCTATTGTTTAGAAAATGGTCATAAAATATGACAAGAACTCCGAGTTAAACTGTGTCAGAACAAATTCATCTTGATAATGCCATCTTTCTGTTAGATTGTCTCACAAATGAAATTGGTTGAATAGCTGCCAGCTGTTAAATTTAAGTACACAATTAGATAATACCAATTTAGGTCAACAAGTTACCAAGCAATGCTTAATTTTTTTCAGTCTGTGGTGTAAAAAGTTTGCGTTAGCAATAATAAAAAGCAAGACTTAAGCAAAACATGGTCAGGTCAAAGTATCTGAATAATTTTTGGTACCAAATTTTTAGCAGTTTTATTTAAAATATATTTTAAAAATATTTTATTGAATATTTTTAAAATATATTTAAAAATATATTAACTGCTTCACTGATTTCTGGTTGATGTTAGTGATTGTTTTTAAATTTAAATATATTGGATATATAATTGTGCATGTTTATTTTAGTTTACTCGCCAGACTATATACATTCCAAAACAAATCAGCCACAGGTTTGTACAAAGATACATTAATTTGTTACATGATCTGAAAGCATAACAACTTCAATTATAAACTACCAGTTTTACAAAATATCAGTCATTTGAGTATTTTATTTGATAAAACTTTATTTATTAATTAGAACTGAAACCTGTCAACCATGTTTGAATGAAAATGAATGCATATTTGTCATATTAAACAAAACTTTATGGACTAGTGGTGGTGCTTTATACATTGTTGGTCATTCAGATTTTCTGTAAAAAAATACTGATATGCTAATACTACTACAACTAATAACATTATAAAATATGCAAAGGTGTGATGAGCTGCTGGCTTAAGGAATATTAACCACTTTCTGATTTGCTGAAATCAAAATGTGGCTATAATACGTGGGTGCTAGCCAATGAGATTGCCACTTGCTCATTATTCCAGCCCACTATGGAAGGAACTGACAGTTGTTTGTTCTTGTTCTTAAAGGCTAAATATAATTTAAAATGAGCTCAGTCATTTTGACAGGAAAAACAACAAAGAATATTTTACATGTAGTGTCGATTTTTGTGGAATGTAAGACTTTCTCCTTGCATGTGTGAAAGAAACAGAGAGCTATAAGACAAGTGATGATGAGTTGGTTGCCTATGCATGCAATAGAGTTTAGTTGGTCTGTTTGTATTTATGTGTTAACTGAATGAACACTGTATCTCATTGCTTTTCTTTATACCTAACATGTTTATACCTAACTTTATACCTAACACCTAAGAAGTCTACTACACACATACATTTTTCTGTTAAAGATAATAAATTGTTGAGTATTGAAATATGTAAATAGTCTGACATGTTGTTTTGTTCACAGATTAATGGTACTGAGGCTGACTTTGAGTATGAGGAGATTACACTGGAAAGGGTGAGTGGAATGACTAGTGCTGCTGTTCTATCTATCTATCTATCTATCTATCTATCTATATATATATATATATATATATATTTTTTTTTTTTTTTTT